CCCCGCCAGGAATAAGCTGAGCAATTTGCTTTCGCGGGTTGCAACTTGCTCCACTCAACTGATCCCTATCCCTGAGGTTGCAGTTACAAGTCTGACTGTAACGTGATAAGAAATAACACGCAAACTGCGGTGATAAACATGGCAATAAAACGCATGTTAGAAGACAAAGTTGCAAGATAAAAGAGACTCTGCTAATAAGGGAATTAAAACCCACTTTAAATGATAATGTAAGCAGCGAAAAGCTTTATCTTTATTAGTTTGTATTGTTTATATGCAAATTTTTCTCAGCTTCTGTCATGTAATTGTTAATTAGTAACTTATTTTAAATTGAAGTTTAGTTGTTACTTCTATTCCTAACGGTTATTTCTGAAGATGTATGTTGAAACATTCGAAACGTCAAGTAAATGAACTTTGTTTTTTTTTAACATGCGTTTTATTGCCATGTTTATCACCGCAGTTTGCGTGTTATTTCTTATCAAGCTACGATGGCCAAAGAAAAAGAGTATTGACTGTAACGTGTTTGGATCACTGAATCGCCCACAAGAAATTATTTGATGGATTACAATCAACAATTTTTGATTTGGATTTTTGATTCTTATTTTATAGGACAGGTGCTCCAGTGACTCTGTTCGAATCGAACGCGTGTAAGTTTTAACTATTTTAGCTTATCTGGCATTCTTGTAGCCAGACGCGGGGATCCTACTACCAGAACATTTTATAATGACTCAGGCCTTTGAATGGCAGCGAGGATGCAGGTGGCCTTGTTTTCAGTTGATGAAGACCTCACTTCTTTGGTGTGTTAATCAAGTTGTTCTAACGCTAACCAGTTGACTTTGAAAGGAGGAAAGCAGAGAGGTTTGTATCAAAACAAGGTGACCTCCACCCTCGCTTGCATTCATAGGCCAGCTAAGCACACAACCGTAAAATGACCTATTCTATAAGCGTTGGACTCATTCTCTCTGTACTGTGCTTTTGGGCAAAGTGTCGCAATTTCAGCGTCAGTGTCTGGGTACAGAGGCATGAACTAAGTAATGAACTCGGTGAAGAAATGAACTCTTTTTAAAATATTGCTTTAACTTATTCCGATAGAATAGAGAAAATGGAGAAGGGTATTAAAAAGCTCGAAGAGTTCAAAACTACAGCACTCACGGAGCTAGATACCGTAAGTAATTATCTGGCTTTAGATTTTTCCAACGTATAATCATCAAAAATTTAAGTCTGAGGGGCTCAGAACTGCAATATTGAAAGGTGATAGAGATAATGTGCCAAAAAATGAATTACAATACCGCCATCTGCTTCGGTGAATTTTCCACTAACTCAGTAACTGTGAGAATGACAAACATTGTCTTGAAACATATTTTAAGTCTTAAGATCATTCTGTGATGAAAAAAGGTATTATCATAAGAATTGTAGAATAATAAAGTTTGCTACTAAGTCTCCTTGTTTTCCCTGTAGTACCAAACTATAAGACAAGACACAAAAACGTCCTGCATGACAAGAGACTGATTGAGACTTTCACTTTCATGGATGTTTTTTTACGCTTAACAGTTTTTACGGCTAACGATTAAAATTGTCCAAGCGAGATCCTTGGCTATTGCCTATACACTTTCTTCTTTTCCTGCTCTTTCAGCCGTTGATTACACTTGTGCCTACCGTACTGGATATTCTCTCTGGAGATTTCATGGAATCTTTAAACAATTTCCCTTAGGGAAACTGAGAGGTAGTAGCAAAAGGCACGTTGATTACTATAGCTAATTTGAGTGTTAATTTACCGTTAACTTTCAAAAGAAAAAAAACAGAAATAAAAACGTCACCGCCACTCATTCGTAAAATATGCCAGTACATTATAAAATGTACATGTCAAGTCAGTCGTCCTTACAATGAATTGTGGCTAGTTTTGTATTTCCCTATACAGCCTAACCTCTCTAATACGGACACCGAAAGGACAGAGCAAAGTGTCCGTATCAGAGAGGTGTCCGAATTAGCTTTATAGTGCAAAGCGTTACAGTAATTCTTATACGGGATAGTTGTTGATAAACAGGCTACTATACTGAGTGAGACATATTTTTTTTTAATCTATTTTTATTTTTTACTGGAATATAACGTGTAAAGATGGCAGGAAAAGTTTTGCGTCAGTGCTCTGAAATGATGGTTGATATCCCACTCAGCAGTTTTATCTCATGAATCATTTTTTGTCTCTGCAGATTTGCCGTTCATCGATAGCGTCAGTCCAGCTAGAACAAGTAGCCGAGAAAGAATGGGTACAAAACCAAGAAGTTTTGCAATGCAATAAATATTTCATTGCTTGAATTTGGTGATTGTGATTCTTTACGTATTTCTCTCATGAGGACACGGCCGGTTTATTACCATTTGGCCTTCTTCTCCTAGAGGAGGAAAAATAAAAATAAAAACAAATACCATTCAGTGGATAAAGTCAAGACATTGTGATATTACAGACGATATATAAAGAAGACAGTTCTCCAAGTTTAAGGTGTGTGCATTGTCCCAAAGTTGAGATCATGTTCGTCAAAATGTTCAGTGCAAAATTATAGGGCCTAGTTTGAAGCCGCAGGACGTCCTTGGTCTTCCAATATGGCGGCGGAAAATAGTGTAAACATCTGGAACTTACTTTGGTTATCTAGACAGCTGAACCAAAAACATTTACAAAACCGAACCAAAAACATTTACAAAAGCACTTTTCCTAATACTTTAACTTCTAAAATGGCTAAAAATCACGACATAGGTGAAGTGTATATTTTTCGACAAACGCGACCTAAGCTTAGTGTCACGCACCGCCATAACTCCGAAATTCAAAATGCGCTGGTTTCCAAAGGAAGGACGCTATTGAGCTGGAAAGTTGCAAACAGAAATAAATTTAGTACCTCTTATGCCTGATGAGGATG